GCTGCGTCATCCTGCCTGTAAGGGCCATCAAAGCCTTAATAGGGTACAGCATGCGGGCAGACACACTGAGATACTCGATAAAATAACTTCCTCACATGGGAATGGGATGCCCGTATTCTGACTTTCTATCCACGACACCACGGACACCGATTCTCTACAACCGATAATAATAATATAATAACCGAAAGAGATGGGTGAAAGAGCTAACAATTGAACCGTATCGCGCAGAGCAAGTGCATAAATACACCCACACTAACTATCAGTAACACCTTCAAAGACTAAAAAACAACATGACTGTCTCGCCAGTGTAATTTAAAAAAAGGATTGTAACAAGGAGACGGCGAACACTCGTGTCGCTGAAATGTTGAAAAAGAGAGTGGACTTGGCGAATTATCATGTAGCTGGGCAGACGCCAGGGAGAGAGAGAGAGAGAGAGAGAGAGAGAGAGAGAGAGAGGGGGGGCAAAGGGGAAGGCGAGAGAGTGTTCAAGAGAGAGGTGTAGGAGGAGGGTATTGATCTATTAATAGTATAAGAATGGCTCATTACGCTATAGTAAATACATAATGCATAACTTTAATCTATAATTTTAAAAAATACGTCTTTTAAACAAGACGGCTACTTTCACTTGGCACCGTGATTAAATTCTGGCAACCAATGAAATAAAGAGATTATAATACCAGGCCTACTTGGCCAACTCTATAAGCCTTACATAACAGACTGGGTTGCCAGATTATTTTCAGGCTTCAAGTCATGTCTTTTACATGATGTTCTCGACAACTTTGAAGATCATACGTGGGCACCGCCAGTGCTAACAATGTTCAGATATTGGCATACTGCTGGTAACAGAAATAATAAAGCAGTAAAGAAAATTGACCCTCAAAATCCTGCCCAACTTGCCAACTGTCTCGAGACTTTAGACATCTTCTTGTCAATAAATAACTTAAGAAAAACTGCCGAATCCATATTCTTATTTTTTGATAGGAATCTAGATCTACCAAACTGGCAATTTTAGGACGTTGGCTCGAGCTCGAACGAAACGAACGAACGAAGGAAGCCACCAGCTCAACCAACTTACGGTTTACGCTAAGATTAAGTGCTAAAACTCGAAACGAAAGAAAGTGCGACACTGGTTTTTCTGTGAGTATGAGTCTAAAATTTGACTTTGCTTCCTTTGTTGGCAACAGCATTTTCTAGGTCCTGAATCATTGAGTGATACCCAGATACCCACCATGGCCCATGCCATCCATCATCATATTCATCATGGTCACTACAAGCACAAGAAATTAGTAAGCCAAGCATCACAAAAAGATGAGAGTTTATTAACCCTAGAAGCGCTCAGCGTTTCACCGGAAGTAACCCGCCAAAAATGCCCCGCCACCTCGGCCGATCAGTTGTAAACATGGGGGTTTGGCGGGGGGGAAACAGCTGAGATACCCGAAATGTATACACCTGCTACTGAAAAATGACCATTTACGGCTCAACGGATGATAAAAGCATATATTTTCTTTAAGCTGATAGAATGAGCAATTAAAAAATGATCAGCAATCAAATAAATACAAACAATGCCGAGAACGCGATAGACTCGACAATTAGTACATCAGCACGGCGAAACAAGTGAAACACATAGCGTGTAGTGTAGTGTAGTCGCTCAGCGGGACCGCGTCACTTTATCGATTGATATCTCGGCCAAGAGACGCTCTACAAGGTCAAGATAACTTGCAAAGTCATTGGTCACTATTTATAACTTTGGCCTGTAATTGACTACGTCATTTTCCATATAAGGAACACTGGAATTTTCCATTGAAAAGGGTCAGCGTCTATGCCTTTTTATAGGGCCTGCGCGCTTCCAGGTCAAAGTAGGTCAGCCCTATATATAGGGCGTGGGCGTGGGCGCTTCCCGGGTAGCCCGGCTCACGCCCTTTATATAGGGCCTGCGCGCTTCCAGGGTTAAAGTACATGATAAAATACAGCACACATGAAGCTACAGCGAGCACCTAACCTAAATCTAGACTAGCACGCCTCTGATTGGCCCAAATCTAGATCTAGATTCTAGATCTTGATGACATATTTCTGCCCTATTATTGTCGTCTTCCCGGGTTACCCTCGCTAGTAACTGTTGATTAGATCTAGAGTAGCAATGACCACGAAAATCCTTTTTTTGCCATAAAGTGTTTGCAAATAGGTGCATTTTGTAGCTTTATCTTCACAGAGCATGGAACTTTTTGAATTTTTGAAATCCATCAATAAACAAAAAAGTTACGGATTTTTTAATCAATTAATTTCTGGTACACTTTTATATAAATGAAAAAACGCTCTGTCTACGTACACGGTTACCGTATGCACTTGATCAGCCCCCCCTCCCCCCCGACTGTACCTTTTAAAAAAATGAAAGCAAGGGATTTTAGGTTCCTCTTCCCATTTTCCTTGCACGTGTTAAAACTTGGACTGTGGGGTGTTTTGTCAAATTTTATCATAATTTTTTTCCTCTCTATATTTTTATTAAATCTTTTATTGAATCATGTTTTATTTGTTTAATTTGTGTTTTTGAAACAGGTCACAATGGCTGAAAGCGGGGAAGAAGTGAACAAAGATGTTGAACTGAAAATAGAAAATGAAGAGGAGGAAATTGAGATGTTACAAGAACAAGAAGCTGAAAGCCTGTTAGAAATTGCTCCAGAGGAAGACGAATCCAATATCAAAGAAGTTTCTGAAGTACTTGATACTTCTGAGGATGTAAATAATGAAGCAGAAGAGGAAACTACGTTTGATCAAGGAAATGAAGATTTATTGGACGCCGAAGGAGCATATCTGAATGAGGATGGTGAAGGTGATGGAGGCGACACGATTGAAGGAAGAGATGATGATACTGGAAAAGATGTAGAGGAAGAGGATGAAGAAGAAGCTGAAGAGGAAGAGGAGGAAGAATTGGAGGAAGAAAAGACAGAGAAAAAAATTGTTGACCCAAATGTCATGCCACAAGTGAATGTGGCAGTTCTTGCGAGTAAGTATGACTTCTGATTGATCATTGAAACCATTTTTACTCTTTGTCTGTGAAATTTGTTTCAATTTGTCCTAACTATCTATTTAATTAGTATGAAATATATATAATTAAAACTTCCTCTTTCTGTTTGTGAACTAGTCGAGTACTGGATTTTTTTTTGCTGTTTCAATGTCTCAATGTATGCACATGAAAAAAAAATGTTTGTGCATTTAGTTCTCTGCTGCTAATGGAGGCCTGACTTGTAGAAAAAAATGTTTGTGTGTGTTCTGCTCTTTTAAAGTGGAAGAAAATGTATGTCATTATTGTTTTCCCTAGTTCACCGGAATTCTTTTAATTTTCCAAAGAGCCCAGGTTTTGAGGGTAATATTTTCTAGACACAAAACTCAAAAGTTTCACACACACACATTAGGAGGTATGATTTTAAAGTGTGATATCTTCTTTCCTTTGCTGTCCAGAGCGAAAGTGGCAAGTGAAAGTATATCCTTTGAAGCCTGCAGACTTCACAAGTGGATTAATCGCCAGAGTCTTCAAGAGTGCAAGAGAAAGTCTGTTGTATCTCATGACAGGAGAGTTTTCAAGAGGGTAATGATGAAAGAATAAGTAGAAACTGCATTTAGTAAACCTCACTAGACCCAATCTCCATTGACTCAACCATTGTTAGCTAGAACAAGTTTTATGGTTCGAACTGTCTTTTCGTTATTTTTAGGGTCCGCACCAGTTTGCTGGAAAAGAATAGTTTGAAAACTTTTAGGTAGCTCAAATATTTTATCTTCAAATGCTTTTTTCCTGCCTCACTTTTGTACTACTGCAAGTATATGTTAATATGTGCCCATGGGTGGTTTAAAAATACTGCTGGTAGGTCATACTTTTTCCTCCCGTCAGTTTTTTCTGTCTTCGTTCTTGCTTTATCCTAACACTGATTGACCATCATTGTGTCAATGTACTTTATTATATTCAAACTCGGACTATACGTGCCCTGACCAATCTCTTTGCTTGGTCATACCTTTCTATTTCTCTGTTTCTGTACTCTATAGGAGATAAGGTGTGGGTAGTTGACGGGTGCTCTGGTGTGGTTTGCTCCTTCTTTCCTATCAAACACCTGTCGTCCTGATCTCTCCTTCTTTTTTGTGTTTGTTACTCTCTTGCAACACCTAATCTTCGGCACTTGTAAGTATGGCCTTATTGTGTTGCAAGTGCCGTAAAACACTTACTAAAACTAAAAGGAGGTAAGGTTTTTTTTAGAAGTACAGGCAAAATTGTCCAAGATCAACACTCATTGTGGAGAAGAAAAGTGGATGACTATTGGAGGTGAATGTCTTGGAACAGTGTCACTATAATGGAGATAAAAATGCAGGGGGGGGGGGGTGGCTGTCTGTACAGGTGATTGTCTTAGGCAGGTTCATCTAGTTTCTACTGTACTCTGTACACTCTGCAAAGGTAGAACTGCTGAACAGGTCAATGTTTTAACACAAGGCAGATCAATTGCTGTGCTGAATACAGGCATGAGAGAAAATGTAGATCTATACCTGCCAAATGAATTTTGTTGTCATAAATGCAGTTTTATGGAAAAGAGGTTGCAATTTAAAACACATTACCATGGTGATTCATGTTAGGTAATAAAAATTGTTGTGCAAATCATTTTGATCATGGAAAACTGAAGCTTGCACTTTTGTTTATGTAAGTTGTGTTATTTTTCTATAGAACATGTCTGTGTGATTATAGTTGTTCAAGAAAAGGCGATATATATTACTTTTTTGTCATTTTTGTCTCCACAGAAAAGGAGAAATGTATATCCAGTCTGTGACTGAGAGCATACGAGTTGTACGCAGTCTGATGACCTTGGATTCACACTTTCAAGAAATCAATATTGAAGTTATCAGAAAAAATGCAGAAGGTGTCATTCAAGAAAAAGGTATTCATTCGTATTCTCTTTTTTTTTTGAGTCGCAGTATGCTTGACCATTGTTCAGTAGTTATGGCCTTTCATTTTGAAGGATGTGGCAGGTTTATACATATTTTTCATACTGTCGGGCTTTTGATGTATTGTCACTTTGACTTTCCATTAAATGTTGTATGGAAATTGCTTAGGCTTCCCTTTAAAGATATATGTGGAGTTCACAACTGGAAGAAGCAGATTTTTTTCTTCTTTTTAAAAAAACAAGTTGATGTGTACTAGAAAATTTCTTACCTGCTCACGACTTGTGATGTCCTGTGAAATCATCAAATATGAATAATTCTTTTTGGGCCTAACTTTCAATACTTATGAGCATTTTTATTTCTTCTTGTCTCGTCCTCCCCATATGTTGTCAGCGTACATGAGGTTTGATACCAAGATGGTGCGGATGCTGTTTGTTGCCATGACAGCTGGTCCTCTAAAAAATCAGGGTCATTTATTTGGTAAGATTTCACATGTTGTGTTTGTATTTTTGACTGTTGGAAAAATTTGTTGTTAATAAGGCTTTATCCTGGCCTTTTCAGTACATTTTGTTTGTAGTGTACCTGCAGGAAATACATTACGTATTTCTTATTAACGAGCTGTGAAGTATATTTCAAGGTGGGGTAGCTAGGTGTGTATTACCTTAACATTTAAAGTTACACACGTAACAACCTGTCTTTATTCAGCCAGACAGGCCTGATTCCCCCTCCCTTAAATACATCTACTTTTTGCAGGGATGTCTCATTGTATTCAGGTTAAAAGTATGCTATTTCTTCTTTTAACCAAATGATTTTTAGATATTTTAAAAAACAACTTGAACCAAAATCAGTGTTGCAGAAAATCATTACCCTCTAACAAATTATTTTACTGTTGTTTCTTTAAATCTATTGAAGTCTATTAAAGCTAACATTGTTTAAGAAATTCAGAAATTTATACACTGTATTTGAGTATTTTTGGAATGTTTTGTTTGTTCTTGCCTAACAGTTCTTCTTTCAGATTTCATGATGTTGGTGCCTTTGGGACAGACAGGACTTGACGAAAATTATTTGGATCTTTTCCCATCCCCCACTGTTTCTGATCTCTTTTATAAAATAACCCCCGCTTTGCTCACTTCCGAAGGAAAATTTGATTTAAGCCGGTTTATCTAAGTCCAAAAAGTGTAGAAGGAAGATATATTTTGTCAATACTGAGATCGCTTTGAGTCTGTTAAATGAATAACATTTTCTAAACAGGGGTAGGGATACTTGAGTACTATATAGGGGATTCTAATAAACACTTTATGCTGCTGAAAGGCAGCTAAATCATTCATCTCAAAAAGGATGTTGTCATTCACTATAGGTCCTGGAATTTTATACGCACTAGAGCACATTTTTAGATTGTTAAAACGTCCCTTAGATGGATTCTGGTAGAATGTCCCATTGACAGATTCTGCTTGTAGAACATCCCACCAGCGGAGTGTGGCAGAACGTCCAATTGACGGATTCTGCTAGCAGAACAACATTCCATTTACGGACTTCAGCAGAACATCCCACTGATGGATTCTGCTGGCAGTTACTGACAAATTTCAGCTGAGCATCTCGTTGATGAAGTCTAGCTGAACGCCCCATTGATGGATTCTGCTGTCAGAACAACATTCCTAGGACAGATTACGGAACCTCCCACTGACAAATTCTGCTGGCAGAACATACCACAGACGGATTCTGCTGGCAGAATATTCTAATGATGGAGTCTGGCAGAACATCCCGTTGATTGATTCTGGCAGAACATCTCGCTGACAGATTTCGGCAAAACATCTCGTTGTTGGAGTCTGGCAGAACGTCCCATTGATGGACAGTGCTGGCAGAACGTCCCATTGATGGATAGTGCTGGCAGAACGTGACTTTGGCGGGTTCTGGCAGAGCGTCCTGTTGACCAATTCTGACAGAACAGAAGTGCAGTATTGGTTGTTACCAACTTTGGCCGAGGGTGCAAACTTTGGATTGTAGGTTGGGAACTAAAAGAGTCTCGAGCTCAAGGTCTGTGGAGCTGTACTTGTTGGTCTGGGGTGGAGGCATCAGCTACGTTGTTTTTTTTGGATGGAGAGGAGAGGCAGAGTCTTCAAATGATGCTGGTGATGCTTCCCCTTTACTTTTAATAACCCTCAGCTGATCATTTCATCCTTTTGTTTTCAGCTTCAGGGTGGTTTTTCATGAAACAATGATCACGAGAGGTGCTTAGTGAGTCCAACACGGTAATGTCTAAGCATGTATGTTTGCAGCACAGCGACATTGCACACTTTAATTTTCTCCTGACACTCCTACAGCCAGCTGCTCCTTTTTCTGTACACAAAGACCTATCCATGAAGCTCACACAGTAGACAGGCGCTAAAGTCAAATGAAATAAAGCACAGGTTTCTTACGGTCGTTTTTTCCGAATGTAAAAGTTTGGGATAAGAGAATTTGATCGATCAAAGCTGGTTCATTTAGTGAACAGCGGTTCAAAGAACAAATGATCAGACACCGAGTGGATAGACGACTGGCCCTGCAGTAGTCTTTGTCTCATTGGACTGCTTTCTGTTGAGGACAGTCGTCAAAACTCATGAAAGTTTAGAAAGCAGTGAAGAGATATATGGCTTGATTTCACTAAAATATGTCATGCTGTTGGACAGTGAGAGAAAACTGAGCAAACTTTTCACTCATCCTCTGCAGACGGGTGGAACATCTTAGCTGGCCATGCACCCTCTATAACCCTCTGACAAAGAGGGTTGTGAGAGTAGTCCAGATTTTCCTCCCACATAGCAGCTTCGAAGTGTTGTGGTGGCGTGTGGACTTAAATTGTTTTTTTAACATGGCAGAATTGAATCACATGTGAACCAGCCATCTTGCAAAATGTGTGCGAGATGGCTTGAATGCCCTATTGGTTATGTTTTATACAATAATTTTTCATCTCAGGCTCTTGGACCTCATTTTGGCCTGAAGCTATGTGCTTCCCTGACCAAGGCTAATTGTGGTTTTTGGATGTCCAGAGAATTTGACTCTATCTCCCATACAGGCAGGAAGAGGGAAAGAGTGATTGGCTCAGTTTTCGTGAAAAACCTGCCACCTGGCACCACCAAGAATATGTTGAGGGTCATGTTTCCATTTGCTCAAGAAATCAATTACAATCCCGAGAAGTACACAGATGGGTAAGTTAATTTTTGCCTTACAGTGCTGTATGACATCTGCTGATATACGTTTCTGAGGCCTTGAAAGCCACGTTTTTCGTGCAGGCTTTAGTTTGTTGTTCAAGAATCCAAAGAGCTTTCTTGTGTGAAGCAGTCTTGTCTTATGAAATAACACTTCGTGTATAACGTTGGCAGGAAAGAGAAGCTGTTCATGTAGAGGACGTTTTGAACTGTCTTAACTCATTTTATCCAGGTTACGAAATTCCTCGTTACCAAGACCACTGTGGGCTGTGATATATCTGGCAACAATAACTCCGCGCATACTGTCCAGTCGATGCTTTCATCTTTAAAGTACAAAACTGCGGTGTTGCGTAGCCAGGCCAATGTTCTATCTTTCACTTCCTTGGTGCATAAAGCCGTCCATGTACAGTCCCAAGACAATGATGGTGTCTCGAAACCTTATTTGCTCTAGTGGAAGGTGGCAGTCCCTAAGTGAAGTACCTGGTTTTCAGTGGTAGTCCTGAGATAAAAAGAGTTAAGACATCTTGTTCCTTCAGCTGAAGAAATGGATAGATGTTGCAACATTTTAAATAAAAGTTTGGCTGTCAGGTGCATTTGCAGATGTGGCAGACCAACTGGAGAGAAAAGGCCTGTGGTATAATATTTGCCCATGATGTCCGTTGTTCTTCTTAAAATATATTTTGAATGTGTGTTTGGGAAAAGTGTTATCATAATGCAAAGATGTCAATTGCCCTCCGTGTCAACTGTGTATGATTTGGTCTTGGTCTTCATTACCACAAAAGCTGTTGCTGTACCCTTTACCTAACAGAATCACTCAATTTGTGTATACATGAAGAGTGTTTTCTCTCAAAAAAGTCGTTGTTGCTGATCATACATATTAAAGTTTTATGAAAGAATAAGAGGGTGAAATACATCCTAGTGAAGGATGTCGCTTTGTGTTGCTGTTGTATGTATGACAAGTCAAAACGACACTTTCAGCAGAAAGCTCACAGATAGTGATGAATTGTTGGAGAATGCATCTTGTCCTGAGAAAGTCTCTGAATGTGCACAATCGACAGCTGATCAAGATTTCTCTCTCTTGACACTTTGTTGATTGTCCTTTCTTCTCTGCCGTTGATTCTAGAAATGTAAAGCTATTTGAAATTTTTTGTTTTCTTTCTGGAATAAGCACACAAAAAAGACTTTTGGAATGTTAAAAATTTTGATAAATTTTGTTCATTGAAGAATGAATGGACCCCTTCCCCTGGTGTAAAATGTATGCAGAATTTGAAAGTGAAATTCTTTAGAGGGAGCAGTTCTCATTAAAAAAATTATATTGTCAAATTTCTGTAAGTTTTTTAAAAGTTTTTACTGTACATGTATTTGTAAAGTTATGTCCTTGTATTTGCCAGAGAACAGTTGCTGCATATTTTTAAAAAGGATATATGTGAGGCATCATGGTGAAATCAGGCGCTTGTCAAAATAGTAAAATTAATTAAAGAAAATGGCATATTCCCACCAGTTTGGCAATTTTTATGAAATTTTTGTTTTTTGGCTCAAACCCTTTCAAAAACATATTTAAGTTTAGATTTTACTGAAAATCGTTGATTAAAAGCACAAAAATTGTAAAATTTCACTTTCATTGAACTCTCAAGCTATGGAAGTCACCAAGCTTTGGCGGCCATTTTCTCGCTAATTTTAACTCTGAAACCAACCGACCCGGCCTCCATCGATCGCAAATACCTCGGCTTCTGTTCAAAATAGATGGGCAATTTTTTCTTCGAAACCAAGGATCAAAAATAATCTTTCAGTTGATACCAATAACTCTGCATGTCCAAAAATTGACCTGTGCTTGATTCCACAGCGTCGCGACTCATATATATATATATATATATATATAATGGTTAAGATAGGTGTACATTTAGATGTGATCAGCTTTACGCTTATCCCAGCTTTCAGTATTTTCCATTATTTTATATCATATGGGTGTGTCAATGGTAGATCCACGTCCTTTACTCTTGAGTTTTTATTTTTGTCTTTTATCTTGTTTTTTTGCAAAGCAGTGAATGGTTATATGATCATTACATGCTTCTCTTAATCCAAATCAAAGGTTTTACATATTAATACCAAATGTTGAGTTTGTCATTATGGAATTTCCTGTCTACTACTGTTTTGATTGATGATGTATGTGTGTTTATTGTGTGTTCTCTGTGTTTCAACCTCAATGTGCTGTTTGTTCACCCAGCACTGCCCGTCTGGTCCTGAAGACACGCAGCACAGTCATCCCATGCTTGAAGGCTTTTGCAAAAGTGGAGCTTGGAGGAAACATCCTTGAACTTCACCCCCTTGAAAGTATGTTATTAAAGACTGAGAAAGATAGTAAGCTGAGCTTAGAGTTGTCATAACTGTAATTAATTAAAAGGGTTGTTGCAATTTTTGTTGAGATGAAACCAAGCTGGAACTAAAAGGCTGTGTGTAATTTGTTTAAAACATTATTGCTCAGACTACTTTATTGTGGATAATTTCTCTCAACGAAGTTCATTGTTTATTTATATGCAATTACTTTACTGCTTGTAGACTGTACCCATTGCTTTCTCTGTTGATGATGTTAGGAGAGTTTCGGTATTTAGGCTTGTGTGCTGCTGTGAGTTTTATTGGGCCTGGTTTCAGAAAGGTGATGTTTGAAATAGGGAATGCGGAGTTATTTGTTATTGTCTTTTTTATTGAAAAGCTGTACGAATATTTCCTTATGATACGTATATTTTTAGTCCTATATGGAGGCATGCGTTATTGGAAAAGCCTATGATTTTTAGTACGGTTGATATAGCTGATGCAGTAGTGTAAATCATTTAGGGGGGGGGGGGGCTACACCTGGAGGCTCTCTCGCTTATTACTGGACCGAATTTTACCAAATTTCACACATATAACAAGCATAGTAAGGAGTCTTAAAATCCGCAATCGAATTTGAGAAAAAAGTTTAGTTTCCATGGATACGCCGCCATATTGGATTTTATTGACATGTCTTACGTAATGAATACTGCACTTATCGCTCATGGAAATTGATTGTTTTTTTGCATGTGTGTTTACAAACATTAGATCTAAAAATTTGTCTGTTGTTTTTTTCCTAAACAAATTAGAAAATTTTTAATGAATTTTTTCCTGAGGTAGCATTCAAGTTTGCGAAAAATCCGTGAAAATCCACACTCCAGACACCACCAACAAAAATCTATTCCATATATCAAAAATTCAACAGACAAATTTTTAGTATTACCTCTTTTCTTCATTCTGTGAAAATTTCATGAAGATTGGATGAAAAATGGTGGAGTTATTCAAAAAAGTATAGAGAAAAGTCGCATTTTGAGAAAACGGCCGATAAAGAAAAATAAAATACTGACTTTATGAGGAAATGGCGGTTACAAACATGCCCGGTATGGGAAAAAATACGGTTTTTGGGGGTTCTTATGCCATGAAATAGTTGTAGGAAAGGCTGAGGAAGCTAAAAATGCCTACAACTGAAATTCCATGATTTTGAGCCGAATTTTGATTTTGGGGGTGTAGCCCCCCCCCCCCCACCCCATTAATAACACTGTTCAAACTGCTCTAACGGCCACCTGTCTTCGACAGTCTCCAGTACAAATGGCTACTTTCCATTTTCCCATTTGTGGTTTTAAAAAAAAGGATTTAATGACTGTCCAAGACGACCACCTGTCTAAAACAACCGCTTTTATTCTCGGCAATAAGTGGTTGTCTTTTACAATTTTGAATGTTTTTTGTTTTTGAGGATTTTAATGATTGGGTATAATGTGTTGTTTGTTGTGTCAACCAGAAAAGAAACCACCAGCAGCAAAGGATGAATCAGGGTCCAGGCGCAGGTCTTCATCTCAAACAGTGGAAAAAGAGGGAGCCAAGACAGAAGGATCGGGAAGCAAGTCTCATGCAGACAGCAAGTCCTCAGAAGACGGAAAGAGGGAGCCCTCTAAGAGCAAGGAGCAAGTCTCATCCAAATCTGGGGATAAAAAGGAAGAAAAAGACAGCCCAAAAAAGAGAGAATCATCCTCAGCTTCTTCAAAGAAAGTAAGTTGATTGGTGGGTGGAGGAGGGGTTCTAGTGTTTTCGCCAGGCATTTGTTTCGTATCACAGATGCAGCCACGAGTTGAAATTTCAATTGTTGTGTATAAGAAGTTTTTTTACTCTTTATTTCCCTATTCTTTTGGTCTGTTACCTCCCCTGGGTCTGAAACGTGAGCAAAGAATGATAACGGAAAATGATTAGAAATTATGCAAAAAATGATCAAATTTCGCTCAATTATGCAGGATGCATAAAACCTATGGGGGCAGTTTTAAAAAAGGAAAGATGATTTCATGGGAGATTAAATTACTGTCTGTGCAAGAATATTTTATGTAAAATGGAGGGGGGTGGGAGGGTGTCTTCTGTATCACTCTTTGCTTACTGTGAAGCTTCTTATTTGGTATAATTATTTCATAATTTCATATGCATGAAGTAAAGTTTAATGTGTTGACGGTTTTTACTACTGTTTGTTCAGTAGCCCTGCCATGTATGTGTTCTTTTATAAGATGCTTGGAGAGCACCACTGGGAGGTCCAACTTCTTTCTTTACCATTCCTCTGCGGTTTCTGTCTGTCTTGCTTTTTCTCATCTCTAAACGGCTGTCATTGTGTCTACATACAGCCCTTTACTCTACTCTTACAAATTAATAAGACTTCTTACCCACGTTTCAGGAGGGAGATTCAAAGTCACCGCAAGCTAAGGGGAAAGAGAGAAGTGCAAGCTCCCAACAGAGGCGGCCTGGTTTTGGGAATGTGAGTATGCTTATTGTGTGTTTAGCCTGTTTCCAGTTTCGGGAAAAGAGAAAGAGATTCCACTATTTGATCCTGCTTTTCTTTCTCTCTTTGGTTTGTGTCAGTCTGGCCTACTATTTCCTTGCACTTACTGGCAGTTCTTGTGTCGGTATACTTCCCTTTTCTCAGCATGTGGGGTGAAAGGTTTGAGGTACAAAAAACCCTTGTGCCAGTAGGATTGTTCACATTATCTTGGATAATATTATCCAATATATGAAAAGCAGTTGCTGCTGTCTTTGCCCATGAGCTTGTCACTCATGAACTGATTCCTTTTTTAGGATCGACCGTCTACGCTGTAAAAAAAGGGGGGAATTTTAAGCTACAGGTGTAAGAACCCACTTCACATTCAGTTACAAGGCTTCTTAAGCACGAGAGCTGTATCAAGGGTTCGAGTATGTCTACAAACATTCACTCGGTGACTAGCTTCCTTTGTGACATGAGTACAAAATGTTTTTGTTCGGCTTGACTCATGTAGCTCATTCTCCCTTTTTCATAGAAAACATAATAATAATAATACGCTTGTCGTGGTGTATGAGATTAACTCTTTCCTGCCTGTTCTTATTCTTCGCCAGCAGTAGCAGCCCATGAATTTAATTGTCCCCGTCGTTTTATGCAAAAAAAATTCTGAAATGATGCAACTGAGCCCAAAAATATGAAATTATGCGATTCTGTTAATTTTAACAAAGAATGATAAAGGAAAATAATAAGAAATTCTCCCCCAAAAATGTTCAAATTTGGCTAAATTATGCAGGGTGCTGAAAACCACAGGGAGAGCTTTAATTTACTATCTTCAGAGCAACCCTTTGCTGTTCATATTCTTTTGTGGGTTGTGGAAGTAAAAGTGACTTCTGCCTGCAAATGACAGCTCTGACACACTTTTCTCTCTTGAAATGAAACAAGGCTACTTACAGCCTAATGTCAGGGATCTATTTTTACCATAAAAAGCTCACCGTTGAGAAAATCCTGTGAGAGAAACGTGATGATTCTGGCCAGTTTTGTTCAGAGCGTTGTTCTTTTTACTGACCAGGTTGAACAAGAAAGGGTTAAAATGTATTATGTCACAGGCTGGCTCTTGTCTCACCCATTAAACTTGCCATGAGAGTTGAAACAAGGTTAATGTCTAGAAAATGTAATAATTCTGTTTATGTGAATTTTATTTTGTCAGTGCAGCCAATTTGACATATATGTATTGGATTTCACCATTTGTTTTGTCGTCGGCGTTCTGTCGTAAACTCGTCGACTCCAATTTTGAAATTATACAGAAGCAAAAAACTGTCTAGCATTGATGTTATCACTCGGACAATCATAAATCTGTCAATGTGTTTTGATGAGCCTGAGATAACATCCTGGCAAGAAGTATGTGTTTGACCTGAGTACATTGGCAAGGTTAAAACAAAGCAATGACTGGATTTAGGTTGCTCCACTTTAATCTTTAGAGGCACATGTTTAACATTATCTTGGTCTTTTTATGATGTTGCGATTTGCCAGTTAATGAGCTCATATTCCTTTAATTTGGGTAAAAATTTATTTGTCCCGCAACCCATCGAGTAAAATAGATAAAGTAAATGACCAGGTAGAGGAAGACTGCAAGGTTCTCAAACCTGAGTCGCTCAACTGGTGTGCTGTTGTAACCTCGCTATATCGCGTTATCGGGGTTCAATGGATCACTCATGTCATCGTGATGGGTAGTGAGGTTTGCATAAAGTTTAAAGTAATGTGTATCAAAGTTCGGGATTCTTTTAGGGGAGAAAAAAAGAAAAATGATTTTCACCAAAGTTCAAGTTAACTGGGTTCCATCAGAGCACCCATGCTGTGTGTTTGGCAGAAACGGGTGGAATAAAAGTTCAGTTGAAATTTACTTGTTTTGTCGTTACAGCTGAAGAACCGCACAGGACCCTATAAAAAATTCCCTCCCACTCGAGATACATTCAGGAGAAGCAAAGATACAGGAGGACCGAAGAGTTTTGGGGATAACAGATCTGGTTTTAGGAAGCCAGGCTTGGCTGGAAATCGATTTGGCAACAGAACAGGTGGACCCCAGAGGTCGCAGAATTTTGCTGGTGGGAGCCGCAGTCTAGGGTCTGGAATGCGCAGTGGGAGGGGAAGCAGAGGGACCAACGACAGGAGATTGAGTGGCAGTCTAAACGTCGGCGCAGGTTAGTCTCTGTGATTCTGTGTCTCTTTCTCTCTTTGTTTCTCTGATTTTGTTTGTCTGTCTGTCTGTCTGTCTGTCTGTCTCTCTCTCTCTCTCTCTCTCTCTCTCTCTCTCTCTCTCTCTCTCTCTCTTTCTGTTTTTCTGATTTTGTCTCTCTCTCTCTCTGTCTCACACAAGCAGCACACACACACACACACTCTGCCGGCATTAATGCAGATTAGTTACACCTTTTTCCCTTTCCCCCAAGCCCTCTCTCCCTCCCTATCCGGTATCTATCCGGTCAGTCAGTTTCTCAGTCATTTTTTCACCAAATATTTTCCCGTTTCCCAGAGCTTGCTGCCAAAGCGGAGGCCACAAAGGACATGATGATTCTGCAGAGCCAACTGAACATGGCCATCAAGAGTCAGCTGGCCATGCTGAACCAGACCCAGATGGCCGTGGAGCAGGCTAAGAGAGGAGCCAGCAGCGTGGGGCTGGGGGGTGGCCTCAGCATGGCCGGCTCTTCAGGTACGTGTTTGTGACGAGAGCTAAGAGTTCAAAGTTCGAATAAATGTGTGTGTGTGTGACTGGAGAAAGGTCCCAGTTGTGAGAAATTTCGGATATTAAAATAAGAGCATATTGTGGTAGCAAATTCTATGCTGAACACGCTGGTTTTTTTAATTTTTCATATATCTTGAGTAGTTTTAAAGATGTGCCACATTTTGTAATGTTTGGTGAAAAAGTCAGTTTCTAGAGCATTTTTAACCTTTGGTGAAGTACATGTTGCAAAAATGTTTAATGAAAAACGTATAAACTTAAAATATTATAAAATCTTTTCAATTTGTCTTTGAGAAATGGTTAAACGTGTGTTTCGTGTGGAACTAAATTTTGTACCAATGATTTAATGGCCTTTTCACCTCATTGCTGAAAATAGATTTGCCGACAAGTGGGACCTTTCTCCAGGCACCAACACATATTGATTCTCGTTCCCTATCTGGTGCTGTAAGGTACTCTCCTTCTCAAGACTCCCGATTCTTTCTGACCTCATGCTGTTTTGTGGGGGGGTTTTTATCACCATTTACATTCTGCTGGTGATGCAAAGACAAGTTTTTTCTCTAATTTCTCGTCTATGAAAAATTGAAGTGGGTAGCACGTAGGTTTATATTTTCGTATTTTGAATAATAAAAATTCTAAGCCAGTAAGCATTTTTTAAAATACCTGTAGAGTTTAAACACATCTCGAAATCATACAATAATGCTTGTCAAATTCTTAAAGAAAGCCATAACAGAGATAAAACTACCCCAAAAATGTACACCTGCAACAAACAGTTTTTGAAATTTTCTTCTGTGTTACTCTCTCGCATGTGGACAGTGTCATTATAACTCTTTGTTTGGGTTTTTTTTTTTTTGGGGGGGGGGGGGGGGTGGAAAGTGGTAATCTGTACAGGTGGTTTTCGGGGACAGGTGTGGGTTGAAGCAGGTTTGACTCTACGTCCATGTATGGGGCGACACCCACCTTGGATCAGCCATAGGTTTATAAACAAGAAGTATGTGGGTGGAGGGCACCACCTGAAGGTTCTGCTGCTTTACTGTGCCTTTGTAACTAATGTCCCCCCCCCCCCCCCCCCCCCCCCCCAACCAAAATGAACATTTTTAGTCGTGAGTGGTTGTCTTTTTTTCTCCTCCTCTCTCCCCCCCCCCCCCACCACCACCACCACCAAAAAAGGTGTGGATATGGTTTGAGGGCACCGCTGGTAGGTTCTACCACCTCTTTTTTTTCTCTCTATTATTTATGTCTGTCTTACTTTTTCCCATCCCTGAATGACCATTATTAGGTTGTTTGCTTCTCTTTTATTTTAAAAAAATAGTTAAAGTAAATGAAAAATGATCTTTGATGGCAGGTGTTTTGGGCGGAAGCAGCTATGGGATGTCCCAGCTAGCTGAACAGAGCAGAAGAGACCCAGTTGGCGACAGAGGCTATGGCGCTCGCAGCAGGTCGCGGGACAGAGGGGCCAACATGGATGATTCTGGTTCGTATTTGTTTTGAGGGTATTGGTTTTTTTTAGAAATACCCTCAAAGGTTGCGGTTTCTGCTAATAGTGCTTGTATTTAAATGAGTGTGCATGCATATTTGTCATTCGGGCTCAAAGAGAGGTCAGTCTTCTTAAGATTTTCATGTTATGGTTGATGTCTTCAGTTGTAACAAGTATACGTTTTCATATGTTCAAAGCATCTGAATTTCAAAAATGTTTCGGTTTTTTTTGGAAAATGTGTTCCTGTCCTGAGAATTACTTACAATACAGTGGAATCCGCTTCAACGGAATGTGCAGGACCATCAGATTTTCTTCAGTTTAGCCGGGATATTGGTTTACAAAAGTTACTCAAAAAGAACAACAAAAATCTTTTATTCTATTTTCCTTTGATTTACAGCTGTTTTCGGATTCACACTGTTTGATTGAAGCTGCCTCTACCAGTTCTTGCAATTGCTTGAAAATCGGGCTTCTAATTTGTGTTCTTCTTCACAGCAAATTGGGCTTTTGGCAAGAGGAGTGCAGCCCAGGCTGATCTGGGTGACGACTACGGTGACGCTGGCTACGTGAGGAAGCGCAGCTCAGGGATGAGGAATCGCGGAGGAGGAGGAGGCCGCTACGGGCAGCAGAATCGTGGTATGGGACAACAGAGTCGGGCTTTGGGACAACAGGGCCGAGCCTTTGGAGGAGCAAACAGGAGTGGTTCGGAGGCCTACGACGAGGACTCCTACAGACACGATTCCTATGCTTTGCGAGAACAAGCTGAAGATCCCTACAGTTATGGTCCTACTGGCAGGTAAGCGTTGAGTTAGTTAGATTCAATAGAAATTGTCCAAGAAGGCCACCCATTGTCATGGAGCAAAGAGATTGTGACTGTCTAAGACAGGTGGAAGACTTGGACAGTGTCGTTATAATATTTTTAAAAATATGGGCCCTAAGTTTGTTTCACTTCCATGTGTGTTCCATCATGCCGTAGGTTGTTTACCCTGGTTTGTCAAGTTGTCATCATCGCTGCCTTTCTTGTCCTGGATCAGGGTATAGGCCACCAACAAATGCTTTCCATTTTTCCCTATCTTGGGATAGCTTCTTGAAAATTATTCCATGTGGTTTGCTGATTGCCTTTGTCATTTAAATATGCTATTGAATGAGTTGTTCTTTTCTCCAGAGAATCTTTTTTTTTAACTTCCCCTATAGTGAGAGCGCAATGTCAAATTACAGTGGAGTCCACTTAAACCGAACATGTTAAATCTGGAAATCTGCGGTTAACCAAAATAAAATAAAATGACCAGATTTTTTTCCCCCCGTTCTATTTGAGCAACCTCTCTAAACTGAAAACCCAACTAAACCGAAGAAAATCCAGTGGTCCCACAGCTTTTAATTTATTCAATCTCCACTGTATTTTACTTCTATTTCAGGGAGTTCTTTATGATTTTCTGACTCGTGTGTTCACTTTTCCCCAACTTGAGTTTCTTACTCCTTTTGGATTCACAAGAACATACAGGACATCCATGGTGTATTGCTCTATGTAACTAGTTTTTTACAGAATGTTTCAATAAATGCCAAAAATGTCCTCTGAATAAAGTGGTGGGAGAAGACACAAAAGTAAGCCCACAGTACCTTTATATTATAAAATTAACAGTGTCCACCAACTCCCGATTTTTTTTTTAGGACCCGCAGTCTGACTCTTCAATGGTTCTAGAACATCTGAAGAGTTTACCTATTTTTTTCTCTTACTTGATTAGAGCATATAACACCATCAATATGTCGGAAATGTTTTAAGATCTTATTTATTATATTATAGAAATTAATGTTTTTGTTATTATGTACCAACACAATTTCTCCTCTTTTTTTTTTTTTCCAGATCATTTGGCGGTGGGGCTTCTTTGGATAGCAGTGCGCGTTCTGGGAACTATGACAGTGAAGGTTATGGTGCCTACAGATACTAGTGGTACAGACTTGCATTTTTGGTTCTTTAGTAGGCCTGATTCACATTTCCGGACCACCTGAGTCATGCCTAAATAAAAATTGGGGGGACTCATGATGCTCATATTTTTGTTTTGTTTTGATGTTTATGGAAAGGCTCCTTATATATATTGATCTGTTTTGTTGCCTGCTGAATATTTTTTTATCCCCGGGGAGCTCCTTTTAAAGACTTTGATGGTGTTGTTTGTTTCCTGTATTCAGTTCAAAATTTTTGCCCTCCTGGGGGGGGGGGTTTACTACATGTTTTATGAAGCCATTCTTACATTGCCTTGTGTTCATTACATTGTATTATTGTGCAAGGCGCTTATTTTGTTCCCATGATGTTGTAAAAATGTTCAAATGAATAAAGTGACACTGATTTTATCAAAACAAAATACCAGAGGAATTATGTGGGTTATTTTTCAGTTGGAACCACTGTGCTCATTTAATTGGAATGTATTGGCTTTCTCAACCGTTTCCTCCGCAGCCCACCCCCAACCCCAGGCACACGCATATCCATAATTATATTATTAAACACACACACAGTGGGTGGTTGGCGGGTGCTCTGATGTGGTTTGCTCTTTCTTTCCTATCAAACTATCGTCTTTATCTCTCCCCCTTCTTTTTTATGTGTGTTAGTGTTACTCTCTTGGAACACCTCTAATCTTCGGCACTTCTATGACCTTATTGTTTTGCAAGTGCTGTAAAACTCTTTACTAAAACAAACTAAAGCACACACACACACACACACCTGGTTTTTATCAGAAAAAGTAAATAAATGTTTCTGTAATAATTTGTGTCAACCTGTCAACTTCTGGTAAAGTCCCACGAGCTGTCCATCTAAGAGTTGGTGTTATGCTGAATTGTTCATTTCATTTATGTGGATGGTTGGCGGGTGCTCTGGTGTGGTTTGCTTGTTCTTTCCTATGAAACATCTATCGTCCTTATCTCCCCTCCTTTTTTATGTTTGTTACTCTCTTGTAACACCTCTAATCTTCTGGCGCTCATATGACCTTATTATGCAGTTGCGAGCGCCGTAAAACCTCTACTAAAACAAAATCTAATCTTCTGGCGCTCATATGACCTTATGCAGTTGCGAGCGCCGTAAAACCTGTACTAAAACTAAAACTCATTTCTTTTATAATGATCTAGGAACACTATTTTTGTGGGTTGTTCCTTTCCTAACATCTTTTGTCCTTATCTCTCCTCCTCCTTTTTTGTATTTGTCACTCTCATGTAACTCTGACACCTCTAATCTTCCGCACTTAAATGGCCTATGTGATGTGTGTTGCAAGTGCTGTAAAACACTTACCGGTACCTAAACAAAAAAATACTTTTTTTCCCTTAAAATACAAAAAAGGCAAGTCATTGATGGTGCCTTTCTCCTGGGATGAAGATAGTGTATATCATTATATGAATACTGGGTACTAGTACTAGTTTCGACCATCCATTTTTTTTTTTTAATGTAAAAAGTTTGCCTATTATTAAACAATAATTATTACTATGAAATGTACTATCTTTTGAATTTATCGTTACCGAAAGAAAGAAACGATAAAATGGTTTTTTTAAATCTCCTCTTTCGTGCAATGAAACACAAATGCAAACCAACCGTGCAGCACTGTTTGTTTTTGTTTTTTTAATTTTGAGCAAAATTACGGTAGGCTACTTTACTCAAATAACCAAATTTGTTGAAACTATAAATTGAAACATCCATAATTTATGAATTTAATGAATTCTAAGTTCGGAGATCTCCAAACCACCAATATACATGTAATTTTGTTTAAAGTGCAAGAGTCAAGAGACAATTGAATGTTGAATTATTCTTTCTTAAGCATTCGTCAGGGTGAGCGACAATGCAAATTACATACAGCCAGTACAGCAGCTGCTGTGGTCAAAGAATCCTGTTTTCTTGGAGGCTGCTGGATGAAATCTGTGCCAGAAGTTTAGATGCATTTGCCTTTGTACACGAGCAGGTCATCAAGGCCCAGGTCTTGACCACTCGTGTGAGCCTCAAAGGTCAACTGTAAAGGAAACACATTGTGGGAATACTTCATAAATTTCCGTATATTTTGAATAACTGAGGTAATGTCAGGGAAATGTGGGAAACAGAAATTACATGGTTCCATTTCTTTACACTTTACGCAAGATTTATTTTAGCTTGATAGCATTTTAATTCCTATACAAAGGGAACAGACCTTGGAGATCTGTAACCAATGTTTCCACGTTACAAATAGAGGTACATGTAATTTCAGTGAGACTTGTAATTAAAAACATGACAGTGACACCTAGGGAAGGTGTTGGCGAGGTCGGACATGACTCTGACTCTTCAAATTCTTTCAAAATTTATGTTCGAGAAGTTGTCTTGTGGCGTCGGTGGCCTAGTGGTTACGCTCTCGGACTCTCAACCGTAAGGTCGTGGGTTCGAATCCCGTCAGGGGCCCGATGTTTTGTTCTTGGGAAAGGCACTTTGCACAAATTTTCCTCACTTCACCCAGGTGAGAATGGGTACCCAGCTATAGACAGCGAAAGATCTTGTCAGTTTGTTAGTGTTTGAGCGCTTAATCAGCTGCTTGCACTGTATGCTTCCTGGGAAACTGAGAATGTTTCGGAGTGTTCTATGGTCTGCTGGGGTAATAATATAGTGTAAAGCGCATAGAGCCTGCTGTTGAGCGGGGATATGCGCTATACAAATGCTATATATTTATTATTATTTATTATTGTCTTGAAAGACAGCATCGTATCCAGCAGTGGGGTATCTTAGGGTATAGCAAGCATAGCATACGTTTCACCCCCCCACCAGGCCACACCCTTTTTAACAACAGGTGTACTCCCAATATGAGTAGTAGGTGAGGACTCTCAAATTTTTTTATTTTTTTTAAAGTAATGCAAACAGAACAATGAAAAGAGTAGGTTCTCTCCTCTCCCCCCTAAATATACAAATACAAAGCAAAAAAGTAGGCCTACTCTATACATTCTGCTGAGAAAAAAAGGGGTAACCCTTTCAACTCTCTGCCAACACAGTCTGATGCGTTCCTAATTGAAATTGTATACACTGGTAGTGGTACATAGGTAGGAGAGTAGGGAGGTAGGTCTTCTTTTCAGTGAGATTTGAAACTAATTTAGTGTAATTGTAATACTGGGTGATCGGGTCAGTTTGCTAGCCAGATTGAGTGCGCAAAGCGGCTATCGTGGCACAAGCCGATCGCGCCCGACTCGTCGCCTCAAAAACAAACGTCCGCAATGGGCCACCCGGTAAAACTAGGTAACAATGTGGTCAAGCTGGCTGACTTGTCAGAGCCACGTTAACGCCAGAACCTGACAAAGCAAAGCCATACAAAATGTCTTACAGTGGGTGGTTGGCGGGTGTTCTTCTAGTGTTGTTCGCTCCTTCTTTCCTAACAATACAAACGTCTATCGTCCTGATCTCCCCTCCTTTACTTTTTTATGTTTGCTACTCTCTTGTTTGTTACTCTCTTGTAACACCTCTTATCTTCGGCACTTATATGACCTTATTGTGTTGCAAGTGCCGTAAAACTCTTACTGTGGGTGGTTGACGGGTGCTCTGGTGTGGTTTGCTCCTTCTTTCCTATCAAACATCTATCGTCCTGATCTCCCCTCCTTCTGTTTTGTGTTTGCTACTCTCTTGTAACTAATCTTCGGCACTTATAGTTATAGTATAAGTTATACGATCTTATTGTGTTGTAGGTGCCGTAAAACTCTTACTAAAACTAAACTAAAAATGTCGTACCTTAAACTCGTATCCTGACGGCAAGTTGACCATCAGCCTGTGGTGAAACCACTTGTTGTTGTCCTGGCCCTTAGTTGTGCTAACACTTTGGTATGAAAAGCGTGGCCCGGACACCATGATGTCTAGGTAGGAACCGGGACCCTTCTGGAACAATCTGTAGTCGATACAGATGCCTCCGTCTTTGAACACAGGAGAGTCTAACTGGATCACTGTGCCATTGGTGGACCCAGCATCTTTTGCTAGAAGGTAGTAGTCTGAAAATGAGAAGAGATTAGAGTTTTGTTTAATATGTTAAAATGTAGGTGTTTTATGCCTTCATCGACACGATTTAGTAGATCATATGATTTAGGAGGCGGCTTCCGACTGTGCCTGTCGGGGCCAATCTAGGCTGAGAAAAATACAATATCCTGGCAAAAAAGATCGAGATTCTCGATAAAAATGTTCATGTTCTATCCACTCGGGAATTGAACTCGGGTCTCCATCGCGCGACAGCGAAGTGCCTAACCACTACACCCCAGACGCCAGTTGAGTGTAGATATCCAGAAAGTGTGTGTGTGTGTGTGTGTGTGTGTGTGTGTGTGTGTGTGTGTGTGTGTG